GGGTTTAGGGTTTGGGGTCTGGGGTGTGGGAGGGGGTACAGACTGCCTGGGCCGTGCGTGGAGAAGAAAAGAAACGATTGAACCCTGAACCCTAAAACTACCAGCTACACCCTAAACTCTAAAACTTATAGCGCGCTCGAGGTGAGGGAACCAGGTACGATTCAAACTTATTATAGGAGATCATCTTTCGGGATTCTTTTAGGGACCCACCCCCGCAGGCCTTACTCTTCCCACCCGTTTTATTATAGGTGCTTGAAGTTTGGGGAGGTCATTTTGGCCCTAAAATCTTCGAGTTTTCAACGTTAGGGAAATCCGCACCCGAAGTAGCAGTAATTGTTTTTGGTGTTGAGCGTTTTGGTTTTAGAGGTGGTGTGCAGCTTTGGTGGGCTCGGAAGGAATCAAGGCACCAACATCTGTAGTTACAGACAGGATCACGAGCCTTCAACGCTGAAAAAAACTCTTTTGCTTGTGGTTGAACCTACACCCTGAAAGCTCGACAATAAAGCTGAAGCTTAAACTTAAACCTCAACCTTAAGCTTTACACCTTCAGCCCCAAAGCATAAACCCTAAGCCCTAAGCTCTGAGCCCTTAACCTTAAACCCAAGGCCTAAACCCCAGCTTCTAAGCCCCCAAACCCAAACCCCTTAGCTGAATCCAGGTTCGTGGTGGACATGGATGGAGTTAAGGTGCCATGGGGTGGAATGACGCTGAAGCTCTGGCTCGAAATGGGGAATTCCTGATACCCTTTTGGGGTCCCCGGGAAACTACCACATTCTGGGGTTTACTTGTTCAGGGTTTAGGGTTTAAGGTTTAGGGTTCAGGGCATGGGACTTAGTAGCTGCTTGGAATTGGACATATAACCCTGTCCATCATCGCCCTGATTTGACATATGTAGGTTGCACTAGTTATGCGTAGCCCAATGATAAGTACTTACTAAGCTCTGCTTGGATGATCTTTTTTTGACTTAGGAACTGTTTGCTAACAGGGGTTCTGGGGCTTAGAATGGGGGTTATTGGGGATAGTAGGTAGACTTACTCAGTGGAAAGATCAACCAAGTAGACCCGAAGGCCTGGACTTTCAATCTTCAGCCCCGCACCTTGACCTCCCAGCTTTCTTGCCTAAGATAAGCCCCTCTACAACCCCAATTTCCGTTTCGTTTTTCGTCTTTCCCTTGTATTCTCAAGTATACCCCTATATTCTACCCCTCTATACCCTTACACGGGCCTACAGAATCCTATATAGCCCTACGTACAACCCTGAGGTTTTGAGGTAGAGCTTGCGTCTTTTCTTCTTAAGGGTGTTCCACGCAAGTTTAGGGCTGGGTAAGACTGCTTTCAGTAGAAGAGAATTTAGGCAGGGGCACTCTAAGGTCTTCTCAACACGGCTTAGGTGTTCATTCAGCCCCAAAAGACCGTGAGATAAATGTGAAAGGAGCGCACCCCCAGAAGGCTTTCAAACAGCATCCGTATGATTGGTTGAGGATTTAGGGTTTCAGGTTGAGAGTTTAGGGTTAGGTAAAGTTTTAGGGTTGGGGGCTTAGGTTGTTTAGTTTGGGGCTCACGGCTTAGGCGGAAACATCCCTGCTGATAGAATTCTGACAATGGCTCACTGCCATGATAAAAGGGGCCTACCCTAAACCTCAAACTAACCAACCCCGAGCCTTAACCCCCAATGTTCTGAGCGCGGCCTAAATCCTGCCGCAAGCCCAACATCCTTTCATCTTGAGTAGCGACTGCCAGAGCTGTGATCTGTTACCAAAGTCTCAAACCCAAGCTCAAAAGCCCTAAGCCCGAAGCCCGAGACTAAAAGCCCTGAACCCTAAATCCTAAGCCCTAGGCCTTCGCCCTAAATCCTAAGCCCTGGACCTTAAGCCTACATCCTCAATGTCTTGCTTGCCCGAGGATCCCATTCATAGACCCCATGTCTCTGCTCACTGCGATGGATGCCTCAGACCAGCTTTCCCTCAGCAAGGCTGCTTGGGGCTAAGGGTTTCGGGTGTAGGGTGTTTGAAGCTTGGGTTGTAGGATCTGAAGGCCTTGGGGTCCAGGGGGCGTAAGGTTCAGGGTTTAGGTCCAACATTTGAGGTGTAGGGTTCATAGTTTGGGGTTTGAGGTATAGAATTCTGGCGTTAAGCTCTAGGGTCTAGGGCGTAGAAGCCTGCATGAGACTGTTGGGAAGATTCAACCCTCATCCTGAACACCCTCCAAAGTCATGTTTCCCTATACTTGGAGGGTCAGGGGG